AAAACCTGCAATTTTTGCTTTTTGAATGGCTTTTGATTAGAAACACTCATACACAGATGACTGGCTCAAGTATTGCAACTGGCATTACAGGGTTATTAATGGAGCCAAGGACAGACCTGTCCCCACCCCAAGGTCTGCTTTACAGTTCGGGCTTGATCCTGTTTGCATCAGAAGGCAATGGAGATCAATTTGCTGTTTGTCTTTTAATTATGTACTCGGAAGTCTATAAAGTCATGGGATTACAAGTGTAATCCCAGTATATTTTAGACAGGAACTGATTCTTCCTGTTAAGGAGAGTGGCTGGTCCCCGCTTTCTGACACGGTCAGGAGCTGGGCACTGGCTCTCACTGCTGCACAGGCACCAGAGCACAACAACTGTCCCTCTGCTTTTTACCAGGATTGAAGGAGTGCTTCCTGGAGGATGGCTTGCTTCTCATGTTCTGAATGTGACAAACTGTCCTTTTGGAAAGGCTTCTAGAAGTACTTGTGCTGCCTCGGTGGCTTTGCTCAGTGCAGAGGAGCAGAAAGGGGACAAGGATCACATCCATCTTCTGAAGCAGTGTTGTGAAACATGCAGAGTGGAGATGTGCATGCCTTGCATGTTAATTAGCCCAAATCTATTCATTATGCACATGTTTGCCACACTATTAGTAAAAAGTGAGCTCTTACCCAATGATGAGAAAGCCTTGGTAGAGAGGAACTGAAGCAAAGTAAAATACTGATGAGAAAACAGCCTAGAAAAGAAAAGAAATAAGCTTTTCAGGCGTTAGATACTGCAGTAAAAGTAACAGCTTAAAAATATACTCTGTTCAAACAGTGGGTTCTCCAAATTCCTGAAATGAAGACAGAAGAATGTAATATCAACCCTTTTTATTCCTACGCAAACCTTGGATGAGAGTTATGTTTAATAGCAAACATTGGAGAGCTGGACTTGGAAAACTTTTTGTAATGTGGTTCCACAGAAAAGAACATAAAGTGTTTCCTCCAAAGCCCACTGGTTTGATCAAAGCCGTCCAGATGCTGTGAAGGACAGGTGTGTACTTATTTATGCCTGGATGATGCCTTCACAACGTAAAGAGGTAACATGCACTAATACAAAGTCCAGAGAGTTCAAGATTAATTTTTCTTCTCTTTTCTTTTGTCAGAAGTTATGGGTTTGTTTTCTGTTCTTGTTTTTAGCTGCAGAGCAAGCTAGACTGTCCCCCGAGTTTGAACCTTTTATCTCTATGCATCCCTCTCCAACGTGTTTATTCTAAGACGGGGAAAGGGTGGAACTAGCCTTCTCAAAAATATCAAGTATTTTATTTAAAAAAAAAATAGTATTTTTAAGGAATGTATCAGTACACTACGGCGTGGAAATGCAACTCCCAAAGAATAACCTCTGTCCTTAACGGTAACTTTCACTTAAGTCACCACAGCTAAGAACAGAATTTGGCACATGAACTCTTAAAATATCTTTCAACTCTCCCTGCCAACTGGCAATTGCATTTTTGTTACACTAAGGCTCAGCACAGATGACAATGTAAATTTTGTGAATACCAAATCTGTTTCTAAGGTTCCCTTTGAAATGGAGAGCAACAGACCGACTCCATGTTGCTGCAGCAAGCTGCTGAGCACTTGGGAAGGTTAATACGTGCTTCAGCAGCCTTTGCGGCACGGCTCCTGCGAACACTCCACAGCACGCCAGACCAAGCTTTTGGTAACCTCATCAGGGTTTGAGCCAGGTCCTCCTCAGCTGCTCAACTTTGGTCTCACTATTTGAAGGCCTTACTTAAAACATACCTGACAACAAGCGCACTTGCTCCGTAGAGACCTTCCTTAAGTGCGATGCCCCGCTTCAGATTTTCAGTATTTCCTAGCATTACTAAATGACAGCAAATACATGCTACATCACAGCACTGTTTTCTACGACAGAATATTGTTTGTCCAATTTTGGAGAAGTTGCTGATGTTTGTCCAATACCAGGAACTTTCTTACATGTTTTCATACTGAAGTAACAACCTCAAATTCCAACCCATGAAAATTATCAGGAGAAAAAAATAGTTGCATCCAAAATGAAATGCAGAACCTTTACTTTTTGATTTTGCTTTTTCACCTCTCCATTGGAAAAGCCCTCATGACAGTCCATTTACCTGCATTGTACTGATGCACAAGCTCCTATGGATTACAAACTGACTGAGAGCTGCAGACCGTTTGTAACTGTTCCTTCCATGTACCATTAGCAAACGACCCAGATGTTTGAACTGAGTGATAGAGAAATCAGCTGCAAGGGATGCCTGCTTTCCTTCCTGTGTACAACAGCAAGTAAAAGCATAGTGAGATCATTTCATTAGTGGAAACAAAGAAATATTGTATTATTATTTAGTTATCACTGACAGAATTTCCAACAAAATTTGCAATACATTAGGTGGGGGAGAATATTACCTCAGCACTTCTGCCTTCCACCGTGGCTTTTAAGCGAAGAGCAAAAAAATGAGGAGAATTCCCATTTGAACCCTGGCCTCCAATTCTAAGCAACCCTCTGGCTTATGATTCACAACACACGTGTTAACATGACACTCATATCAAGTCAGTTTCGAACACAAATTTTCAGTCTCAAAAGTTCACTCAATTTTAATGTTTTGGCTCACTGCAAGCAGAGCATTTCCACTGCGGCCAAATCCAGTCTTGTTGCTCCAAGCAGCTCCATATGCAGGAACCAGAGCTCTAACCCAGTTTGCTTTCTAAACTAACATAACCACTTTTTAATTGTACATGTAAGGTGTATGTTATCAGACTAATTACAGCTCCAGCATTTGGAGCATCTATGCATGATTAAACACACCAAAACTCACCACAATAGTCCAAATTCAGGGAATCTGCCAAAAACCAAATAATGAACTTGAACTCTGTTAAACAGTAGTCTCCTTTCCAGCCAAATTATTTTGCATGATAAGGCTACCAGTCTGATGATTATTCTTGTGGAAGCTTCTCACTTTCTTGCACAAATTTCTGAGGATTCATTTATGAGTTAGTTGCAAACTAGCTTCTGAATTGCCATAGGAAGTCTTATGAAACATGAGGTAATCTCACCTTTCCTTCAACTCCAACACCACAGTCAGCCTCCTGAATCATGCTAACATCATTCCCTCCATCACCTGCAGGTCAGAGCACAGACAAACGACATTGGTAGTTAAGCAACAAAAGCAACTTGCAACCCCACCAAAGGCATCTGCACCAGACTGTAGTGCTAGAAGAAACACTGAACCCTATGAACAAAAGCAGGATTTTAAATAGAAACTGGGAGTTTAAATTCTTTAAGAAGCTTTTTATAGACGCACAGTAATTCAAGGCCACTGATCACTTTATCTGACTTGTAGGTGTACCGTGATACATACAATGCTGAAATAAAGCTCACAGGTTAACAATGGCACTTTATCTGATCATGTGCAAGCTGCTTTGCAAAGATACCACCCCAAATATTTATAAGTAGTCTGTCATTGAAGTTTCCATATGCAAAATTTCATCTTCTCAATCGTCCCACAAAACCACTGTTCCCTAACTCAGCATTTCCAGGTATTATGAGATTACTTAAGACTGTTCACTCAAAAGAAGAAAAAAAAAAAAAATAAAGACAGCACCCTACATGGTCACTCCTCCCTAACTAGCCCCTTACCTACTGCACAGGTGAGTTTGCCGGTCCTTTCCTGGAGCAATCGCACAATCTGGGCCTTCTGTGTCGGAGCGCATCTGCAGCACACGACGGCAGGGCACTGGCAAGCCAGCTCCATGAACTCATACTCATAGTATTTCAGACACACCTAATTTACAGAGATCAGAAGTGTCACCGATATTTGTGCTATGAAAGTTTCTTTAAAAAAAAAAAAAAGAAAAGAAAAAAAATCCTAATCCAGGCACAGCGTTTTGGGGCTGTTCCTGAACAGCCCAAGGCATTTGGAGCCTACCTCCAGCGAGTCGCCAGAAATAACAAGAGCGCAGTCGTGTTTCCGGCGGAAGGCGTTCAGCTCTAGATGGGCTTCTCCACGGTTCGTCACCTGGGGAAAAAGATGGCAACTGAGGAAGGGTTTGCTTCACTGGCGTGAAAAAACAAACAGTCAGGTCTCAGAGGCAGCAAAAGTAATATATGCAGGCAGCACACTGAGTTATTCAGAGCACACAGTCAGATAAACAAAAGCTCAGGGGATAGAAACCTGGGTCAAAAGAATAAAAATATTGTGGGTCTACTGCTGGACAACAGTCGTGATCTCAGCACCCCTCCTGTTCCAGAATTTGGGGTCCCAAACAAGTCTTGAGAGAGGGGAAGGTGGGTGTTACTCACTAGTCTGAATATATGGACGTCCTGTGTCCGTGTCACCAAATGTGCATTCTTGGCTGTACACGTGGCTGTCTCTAACTTATCCCCTGTCAGCATCCACACCTAAAATCCAAATATTTAATGTATTAAATACAAAACTTAACAACCACGTCTGCAGGTCATCTAGAAGTACCACCTGCCAGTTTAGGCATATAAAAGAACTGTTAGAATATATATACAAATCACTTTTCTAAAAAAGCCCTATTTTAAAACATACAAGAAAATTCTCACAGATGAAAGCAAAACTTTTAAAGAGGCTGAAATGCAAAAGAAGTTACAAACCACATATAACACTTTTCCCACCTGCAATATTTCAAGATTCTGCTGATAAACCCACAAAATGCAAGCTAAAGAATGTGTATGCGTGTGTTAATGTGTCCCACCCCAGCTATTTCTCGTACGCTGAAATAAGCGGGCCTTGCTGCAGAAAGATCCCTCATGGCCCTGCCTGAAATGTGGATGATGCAACTGGGGTTAGCTCACTGCTGATGTGTGCGTCTGGAACAGACTAAGTTGTTTTTTTTTTTTTTTAAGATTTTTTTTTTTAAATATACACTGCTCCTTTTATTTTGTGCTGGGGGGGGGGGGGGCATTAGAAAGCCATGTCAGCAGCGATACTCATCAGCAATACCCTGTTATAATCTGGCAGGGAATTCCCTCAACAGTGCAAATATATCGGAGTTTGTTTTGTTTTTTCCACTGCTGTTTTTAGTCTTTGAAGACACCACCCAAGAATATTTAACAAAACTTTAAAAAAAACCCGAAACCCAGAAAACACACAAAGACTCACTTATTTGTTTAATAAGCTGAGGTTGGAAAAAGATTTGATCTTAACAAGATGGTCCCTGTAATGAATTACAAGACTGCCTTCGCTCTTGATTTACTTCTTGCATGCAATACCCTAATGAACATACCATTGCAAGGAGTGCTCAGAAGTGCTGCACTCGCTGTGCGACAACACGCCCCACACCCCGACACCGACTCCAGCCAAGGTGAAGAGAAAAAAATGAAACTGCTTTGGAATAACTGGCCTGGCCTCTGCCGCGGGGGGAGAAAGCCACAACGCTGCTGCCGAGCTTTGTCTGATTCTGCTCATCTCTCTTCTCTGCTGAAGTCCCTGTCGTTTACAGGGACGGCTCCAAACAGAAAGCACTTTTGGAAGCCTGTCCCAAGCCTCGAATTTCACCTCCTACCTAAATCCCAAACACACAGCCCTGCTTTGGAGTCACAGCATGGCTCAAGATTTTTGCTCACTTTGTTACTTAAAGCAGAGAAACCACAACCACAACCTTTTACCTACTTCTCTTGCCCGAATCTGAATGTTTAGTCCATTTTTTTTTCCTTTTGCAAGTCCAGGATCTGACCGACGAGTTTTCAGAGAGAGAAACTAAGCAGGCATCACGCCGCTTCCCTCACCGCTGAGCAGAGCTCAGGCCGTAGGTGTCTGAGTCTCAGATGCCAGAGCCCAGAAAGTTGAGGGGAAAAAAAAAAATAAAATGTCCAGTCCCTGATTCTCTTGGCTCAGACCCCCTCTAGTGGCTACTGAAAACACGTATATTCACAGGCCAAGGCTTCAACACCAGCCCGGGAGTTTGTGCACCAGAGACCAAGCACATCCAAACCGGTCTTGTTTCATGCAACCATCTGAAAGAAACTATTGCCCAAAACTCTCCTGTGGCTACCCTCCCGCCTACACACTCCATTCCTCTGCAGAAGGAGCCAGAGCATCTTAGAGGAAGAAAAGTACAAAAGGTGACGAGCTTTCACATTAAAAGTTAACGTTTACTACTTCCAGCATGTTCTGTTCCCAAAGTGATGTTTAAAATGCGTCGGCCAGCCCCACTGTTCCCACTTGCAAAGGGCACCTGGTGAAACATTTACCTTGACAGGGCCCCCAAACTGTCTTAATTTACTGTTTGTAGGACAGTGCCACGTACTGCAGAGCATCTAGGTGTTCCTGCTAGGTAACATTAGGTTAGGCAGACCTTAATGCCAGCATTTCTCAGCGTCTCCAGAGTGGGTCTGACGTCCGTCTGCAGCTGATCCTCCACGCCGGTGAGACAGAGCAGCTCCATCTCCATTTCCAGGCTCTCAATGACTGTGGCTACCTTCAGGGAGCGGTCGTGCACGCTTAGCTTCGCCTGGACGTAGCGTGCCTGAGGACAGAGCAGACACAGCCACAGTCACTCACGCAGCCAGCCTGCATTTTTGTGGAATACAGGGTTAACCAGTGTGAGGGTTAAGGAGTTCACCTCCCTCTGCTAACTGCCATTCAGGGATGCCCCCTGTAATGGCTGGCGAACACGAGGAGCGCGTTACAGAGTAAGGCGGAAAATATTTCAGGAAGTTTTTGTCATGTTGTCCTGCCTGGGCCGGCCAGGCAGCACGGTGCACAGCGCGTCCTGGCACACACAAATGCGCAGCAGCTGCTGAAGTGACACCTGCAGAAAGCCTGGAAGCGACTCCCTCGCACCACAGGTCTAACCACGGCTTCTCCGACGAATAAACGAGGGCAAGAGAGAATCCTAAACATTTCCACCGTCTCATCTCTGCATTTAACTGAACAGTTCTCCTTCATGTTTTGCCTGCCTGGGGTAAGCAACTTAGTGCTGTGTGTAGAGACTCATCTAACAAACTCCACGGATGAAGCCTGTGTTTCCATGAAGCCCAGCTGGGTAATATTCTGGTTGTTTGTAGTTTCCCTGGATGTCGGAATGCAACAATGAAAATTAAAAGCCAACACATTTCCTCACACAAAGGCAACCTGTCTAACAAATGATGAATATTTGCAGAATTTATAACCACAAATGATTGTAAGGCAGGATTCAGGAACTGTTTTGGAGGGTTCTGGCTGGGATCCAGTTTCATACATATCACTTAAAAAGCCACTTTGATTAAAAGAACAGCAAGATATTGAAGAATGACAATTCTAGCAGAAGGAGTAGGGAGATGAGAGGCGGCATTATCATGAGAGGTCTGTGAGAATCACTTCAGGGATTGTTTGTTTAAAAACAAAGAAAAAAAACAAATAAAATCTTACTTCAAAGTCTTGATACTGCTCTTCCGTCAGAGACTTCTTGGCTACGACAAGAACCCTCAGGCCTTCCCGAGCCATGTTACCACACTGGAAAGAAGTATCACATTGTAAACCATAAACTGCATCTCAAGTAAGATGATTTATGCACAGCACTGCAGAGATGGCAATGTAAGATAGCAGGTTAAGAAAATAACCGTCCCATTTGAGCAACCCCAGTGAGTCTATAACATCTGATAAAGTGCATGATAAACCCGAGAGGAAAAAAGGAGATCTGCAATGGTTTGTAATCTATCCCAGTGATCAGAAACAAAAATGTCCTCTCTGCTATACCAGTGTGGCGAAAACAACCCCATAGATTTCATTTTCTCTGTCTCTAAGTAAAAGAACACAAGCCTTTGATTTGTAGACTTCACATCTTTGGCCATAAACTCTTTAAAATAAGACCAAGGTAGTATTATTTCTTTGAACACCAGGGTTTGGGGGTGTGGAGAATCAGTAACTGAAGCTACTGCTATGAACTCTATGTCAACATTACCACTAACCTGACAAACATATTCCAGTACAAAGCTGCCAAATGTAGTTTTGAAATTAGACCTTTCAGTCCAAAATAAATCCAAACATAGGATCAAGCCCAGGACAAATTTGGTGATGTTGAGTGGCAATCAGTTTTGAGCAAAATCCATTTTATTTACAGGACTTCTTCTGCACTAAATATGTTGAACTTGCCACCTGACTTCCTTGTTACTGCGTACATATTTGGCTGAAGACTAATCCAATGAATTGCCAAGATCGGTGACCTTCTGTTTCACAGATGTTTTAAGTTATGTCCACTCTGCCACACTGACAAGCTTTGTCATGCATTGCCCTGGAAGGAGAAAGGCACTCGCATGAGAAACCCTCCCTACATAGGAGAGACGGCCCCATACCTCTTCTTCCAGCCAGTCGTTGTACTGCACGATGCCAGCCATCACCACATCAGCCCCCTTCATGTAGAAGGTGATCTCTCCTGTTGATTCATCCTGCAGGTAAGAAACAGAAGAGTCTAAGTTGGGCCAATATCAGCATATTTGGAGTGGCCTCAGCAAGCTAAGTGATGAATTTTCTGCACATCAGTCACAAAAATGTCTGCACTGTGTCAGGCTGAAGGTCCATCTGGCTCAGCATCTTGTCTCGAGGCCAAAAGGAGATGCCTATTCAATTGCAACTTGGTTACTCGCAGCATTTTTTTAATTTATGCTTTAGACAAGGACGATCAGATTTTTAATCAGCAACACGTGATTTCCATGCAGACACAATTCTGACTGCATGTGCCTTTGGAATAACTTCTAGCCCTCACCCTGAACATTTATTTCATACTTACCTGCAACAATAGAACAGATGCACGAAGCTTAACAGAGTAAAAATCACCCTAATTTACCCCCTCTGTTACATTATATGGCACAAGCATAATTAAAGTTTATGCTTGCCGCAGAAAGGTTAGATTGCCGCCTGCCTTATCTGATCCAAGTAATTTGTAGGCTGCAAGCAAAGCATATTTACATTACCACAAATTAAAAAATCCCTTCTAACCAGGCAGATACCTAAGGAGGTCACAGCTATTAGTATTACAAGCTAATGGAAACCCTGGCAATTTCCTCAAAGGAGACAAAACAATGAGTAAGGAACAAACTGCTCTGTAAACCAAGATAGTCACCAGGGATAGGAAGAAAATAAACCTAACAGGCAAAACCAAAGAGCCCAGGAAGGTCAGAAATAGACAGCTGTGAACGAAGGGGGAAAAGTACTTTAGGAAAAAAAGAAATGAAAGAAAAGCACAGTGGACACTCT